ACATGGTATCTTTTTCCATCGCTTTATATAAGTAAATCTATTTATAGCTTTGTTTTAGTGAGTTTCTCATGGTTTGCACATTATTAATATTTTAAGTCTACTCTGCCAATCTACTTTTTCATTGGTGCATTTGGACAATTTGAACTTAGGGCAACTATTGATGTTAGGACATAAGTGAGCCATTTCATTATTTGTGTTCTGCTTGCTTCCTGGGATTCTCATTCCCATTTCTTTTCATAAGTTCCCTCGAACATTTTTTTTTTTTCGACTATTGTAGTTTTTGAGAGAATCATTTTGCATAGTTTTCTGTGCTTTCTAGGTATTACATGAACAACTAAGTAACTTGACACAATGGATGGGTGTTAGTGTTTTACTCCAGTGAATGAAGAAACATCACTTCCATTGTGTCCATACACCCAAGCCCAAAGCATTTCCTCTGCATATGCTGGACACCACAGCAGATGCTCTTAGCATCTGTGCTTCAACCACTAACTGTGCTTTAGCAAACGTGAGAGGACTATCCATATTAACTCCTTCCAGTGCCCTTTTGGGAACCCCAAGCCTCCGTCCACAGCACTGCCTTGTTAGAGAGCTTCCTTTCGCAGTTTAAACCAGGCAGGCCATGTCGGGCGGGTGTATTTGCAGGGCCCTGTTGGCGCCCCTGCTTGGCAGTGCTGATCATGCTGACTGCTTGCAAATGGCCAGGGGCAGTTCAGCTCTCCCTCTTCCCTCTTAGCCTTCCACAGCACTTATTACCTCTGGAGAAGTGTGGGCTCACCTATTGCCCGCGCCCCATTAATGTCAGGGAAGAGGGTGTAGGCGACATGACAACCATCCAGCTTGACTCCTCTGGCTGTATACCTTTCATGCTCTGCTGACCCCAGGTGAGGAAAAGTGGCGTCGTGACCAACTTCCCCTTGCACCCTCAGTCCCACAGATGCTGGGTGGACTCTGCTGACACTGGGGTCAGGCTGGGTGTGGGGGAGGGGCCAGAGGGAGACCAGCCCTGCTCTACAACACTTTGCTTAGTCTCTGTGGTGTGGGGGTGTGCAGGGGGGGGGTGAAAGAGAAAGGGGTGCTTAGCTCCCTCCAGGCTCACTGGCATCAGGGTGGGAAGGGGTGAGACAGAACCCAGCCAGTCCCCTTGCACTGCAATAAATCCTGCTTCTGGCCTGGGGGCAGAGTGCGGAGGCACCATTGGCTGATGAGGCACCATTCCTACCACAGGGTGGAGAATCAGTGTCCCTAACCTTCTGGGTGGGGAGGAAGATCACCCAGTACCTGCTTCTACTAGAAAGTACAGCTGGTGGGATACCGGTCTCACTGTAGCTGCTGGTGTTTGAAGCAGGAGCTGTCAGAGCATCTGCTGTTGGTAGGCTGCCCTTTCCCAGTCCTTTGTCTGAGGGCGGGTGTCCCTTGACTTTTTGGTCTGTGTGTGTTGGGAGGTCAAGGAGGCTTCTGCTGCAACATCTGGAACCACAGGAGCTGGGGAGGCTACAGTGGGCTCCTCAAGCCACAGGTGCCCTACCTGTCCCTGGCAGCCTTTCCAAATGCCAGCCTTCTCTCCTTATGCTTTGGTTTTATATACTGGGTTGTAAAATAAGGACCATCTGGGCCAGAACCAATCTGTGCACTGGAGTTAAACTGGGAGTGTGATAGCAGAACCTTCTTCCTTTCTTCTTACCTTCTCTCCTCTTATCCACATGAGGGGGCCCCTTCTTTGTACCAGGTGTTATAATAGGTGTCGCAGGTCCACAATGTAAAGGAAGAAAACCAACAAATACAACATCATGTGTTGAAAGTCCTGTAAGAAGCAGGTATATGGACAAGCGCTTGAGAGGTGATGCACAATGGCCCCAATCATGGGATAAGATACCACACTGAGATGCTTTCTCTTATCAGGAAGAGCTGGTGAAAATCAAGGTCAGATAGTATAGAGTGTTGGCAAGGACCTAGAGCAACGGGAACTTGCATTTACCACTGCTGTGAGTATAAGTGATACAATCATTTCCAGAAATGTTGTTATTGCATAGGAGGCTGGGCACAGGCCTTCCCTGAAGCCATGACATCCAATCTGAGCATGTATGCACACATTTATACTTATGTACAGCATGAGCCACCCAACATCTGTTAGGAATCAAGGCTACATGGTGTGAATCCACACACAGTGGAATACAATCAACACAGACAATTGCAAGAGGTTGAACCAAAATGCCAGTCTCAGAATATGCAGTATTCTTCAACTTATGTAGCTTCAGAAGGCAAACACATGAGGTCTGACGGTGGTACTGAGAAGGAGCAGCGAATTGTGTCTCCTGTGTTAGATTCTGCTTCCTTAACAAACACCACAGACTGAGTAGTTTAAAAAAGAGATGTCTTTCTTGCTATTCTCGGAGGCTAGAAGTCTGCAATCAAGGTGTGAACAGGGCTAATTCCTTCTAAGTTCGCTCCTGCTCTTGACATGTGGATGTCCTTCTCTGTGTGTCCTCAAAGGTCTTTCCCTCTTTGCAGTAGATGTCCTGGTCACATCTTAAGGACACCAGTCACACTGCATTAGGATCCACCCCAATGACCTCATTTAACTTTAATGATTCCGTTAATGGCCTGTTTGCAAATACAGTCACATTTTTAGATGCTGGGGGCTAGGAATTCAACTTACGAATTTTGAACAGACACAATTTTGCCCACTCTGTCCCCTCTTTCTGAGCTGTGGGGTAAAACAAAGAGTTAAATGAGTTTTGAATGACAGTTGAGTTTTGAGGGACACTGGGAATTAAGTGAATAAGGTGTTGAGCTATGTCTAGAGAGAAGGAAGGGTGGATGGAGGAAGTCACTAGCACTCTCAGTGGCAGAGAACACTGATGAGGAGGTGAGTGGACAAGCAATGAGGTAAAAGAGGACATGTCCTAGTCCTAGCCCCTGCAGGGACACATGAGTGACTAGACGATGATCTTGTGTGCCTTCCCCTCAGCCCCCCACAACAGACATCAAATACAGAGAAAGCACAAACTTACTGATGACAGGATGAGTTTCCTCTTTCTTCTGTATTAGAATTCTACTGTGAGGACATAAGACAGTCTTGAAAATAATTATCATCTGAGGCACAAACGTCCTGCTGACAGGATGAGTTTCTTCTTTCTTCTGTATTAGAATTCTACTGTGAGGATATAAGACAGTCTCAAAAATAATTATCTGAGTTTTGTGGTAATAATTTGGGAAGTGTTACTTGTCAATCCCAGGAACATTATATTTACTACATTGAACCATATGAAATGGCTAAAGTATCATCATATCTGACCTAAAAAAAAAAGGTCAGTTCACATGGCTTAACCCACTTCAGTGTCTGAGGAGACAGTTTTTACTTTTAAGAGATGAAGGAACTTTAGAAAGCAATTCACTAACAAAATCAGGGATTTTTACATTGTAATCATAGGTTTGGGTTAGAATATATTCCAAAAACCTAACTTATCCCCTGAAACAGGCAATCCCCTTTTAACCTTCTTTAAAGCCAGGAAAAGCAAGGACAGACGAACCTCCTGTCGTGATGTAAGTTGTAGATGTACCTTTGCACTGCAAAGGTTCTATGATATTAAAGTCTTATTGGAACATTATTTTTAGTAACTGGATGTTTTAATGGATGGTTTAGAATGAAGGTTTGCACAGTTCAGCACTGAATGGCTCCATTGTGAACACTTATAAATCAGTTTTATTGTGTCAGGCTAATCAGAGATCAGCTCACGCCTAAAAGCATAGCTAAAAAATAATGCGCTATTGCATAATAGGATTTTTCCCTGGTTATTTTATCTGTAAACAATGCTCAACCATCTAGCATTGGAGAAGGGCTCCTTTAGGTAAGCTGCTAATTTTGGGCCACATTCATAAAAATAAAAGGCAGCAATGGGAACATCATTCTTGATTTGTGCTGAAAATGGATTAACACATTAATTGGGAACAACCAAAGATCTCATGAGTAAGCTGTCATTTTTAACCAATTCTCCAAATTTGGGAGCCTTCAGATAGCGAGAATTTAGGCCATGCATTGTCTACAACACATTGTCTCTGAAAATTTTTTCAGACATCTAGAGAATAGTCTGAAGTAGCAACCAGTCATATAAATAATAAATGTTCAATTTAGAAAAAATAGAAACTTTATCCTATTGCAGAAATGATATTCATAGATTCATGGACTCCAAACTGATAAAAGCACTGAGAAAAGTAATGAAAACAGGGAAGCTGGTTTAAGATAAGACTAAGTAGACCAGTACTTCTGAATTATAAAACAGAGAAAAGAGTCTGAGTCAGGAGCACTTCACTTCAAAGAGCACCATCAAACTTTGAAACAGGGAGAACAAAGTGGCAAGAAATCATGCACTTTCTAAGTGTGGTGTACTAGAGAGCACAGTAGTGTTAGAGTCAGCTCAGCTTTTCCAGAGGACAAAGAATGCAAGCTATTTTTCAAGTTGTGGACAATAAGATGCTCAGTATGTCATGGTGGAGATTAATACTAATGGGACCTCCAGGCCCACATGGGTGCCCCATGCTGGGACGTTCACCTGGTCAAGAGCTCCATAGACTGTGGCTTCAAGAGCAGGGGTCAGGGTCAGTGAGACTGGGGCCTTCAGTATGAATAACCCTGTCTTGAGGCTGGTGAAAGTGGTTCTATTGTGTGCTCATGATCCTTCCCACCTCCTTCCAGCCAAATGTTGTCACCTTGACACTTGGGCCAAGAGGCATATTTCTACCTTCTGGGCTACAAAGAATTCATTCAGGAGTCTCACTGGCCATGACATCTTCCTCACCGCTGCTCTAGAACTCTCCACCCCACTGCACTGCCTCGTCATCCTGAACCAACAGTCTCCCCCATCAGGGCTAGGCTGGCTGATGATCTGACCTGCAGCTCAGTTTGCCCATCAGAGAAATCTAATCACAAAATTACATCTTTCTCATCAGGCTATCCCCAACTCTCACAGCAGCCAGCCAAAGAAGAACACAACAAGGGATGAGCTTTTGTCCCCATTTATTCAAATAAACACAATACCCGTATACAGCCTGATTAATTTCTCCCACCAGCTCTCTCTTTCAGGCAGGTGCACCTGGAGTTTAGACAAGCAACACCATAGTCGTGTCGTGTCTGCACAGGGTCTGTCATCTTGATGAAACCACTGATTTGATGCAGATGCCAAAAGCCACTTGGCAATGAGCCATGAGGCACTGCCCTTGTGGGACAGACCAAGATAAGGCTCAATATCTTTTGTGGTAAGAAGTCTCTTTTGATAATGTACCTATGGGTAAAGTGTAATTGTGTTTTCTCTTTTTAGGCACTTGAAAAAGAAATTTCAGGAATCTTTACCCCATTTATTAAAATTCATCAGATTTGATTTCTTAAACCAAAATTCAAACAATGTGGAAGAAAACTGTACTTCGCCAGCACAGTTAGTAGGTCTGATAATGCCAGAAAACATTTTGATGTGCCAGTGCTTCAATCAAAACACAGGCATTGAAGAAATTTCATTTCTTGCAAATTCATCTTGCTTCCCCTGCAATTCTGTCTTGACGAAGAAACTTCATTTTGAAATTGGCTTGACTGATATCACAGCGGTAAAACTGTCCCCTCTGGGGTTTGGTCTCTGTTCCCCCATACTTTCATTTAAATAAGTTATAGCTTCAATTGCTGATGAGTAGTTTGGTCTACAAGAAACTAACTTATGCAGTTACTTCTTATCTAAAGGCAGCAGGGCCAAAGCAACTTGCATGGGTCAAGTTCAATTTAAAATTCTCAATTCTCGTAGTAAAAAAAGCAGCCAAAGATAGGGCCCTGTGGCCACTGGCACTACAGGCTGGCTTGCTGGCTGTCACAACGCCAGCCGGGCACACTGCCTCTAGCGGTGGCTACTGCAGGACAGCAGGGACACACCAGCGCAGCACGGCTGTCCCTTCCCGTGGTGTCCCGCTCCGCAGCCGTGTCCTCCAGAGTCCAACTCTGCTCCCAAATCCTCAGGAAAGATGAAACGTGGCTCAGCGCGCCCAGGCGAGTGGAGTAAGGCCTGACTGCTGAGAAAGTGCCTGTCGGCCCAAGTCTTCCGGAAGCCTGACAAAGGACAAGCTAGCTTCTACATCAAAAACCTCACCATCTCACAGTGGATCCTTTAATGTAAAACCAAATCATTTTGAAAAATAATACACTGAGACTTTTTGCCACAGTTATATAAAAAAGAAAAAACAAAAAAATTCAAATTCTTTTAAAAATGCTGTATCAATCACCTTCTTAGTAACAAATATAAAGCAGTTTAAGACACTTGGTGGCTTCCTCAGGTCGTGTATCAGGGGTTGGATATGCAGTGATGTTTCATTCCTAAAATTTCTGTTTGGTAAAAACTCTAGGAAGAGTTCCGTCAACAAAAAATCTGTTTTGGAAAGAAGAGTTACAACTTCTCCAAAATGTCAAAAAGAATAAGTATGTAAATACCACATGCTTGAAATAGTAATACAATCATATTAATTCCATTAAATAAATAAAAGTGGCACCGGCTTCATGGCAATTTTCAGTACAAAAATGTAGCTCAAGGATATTTTTGAAAATAAATAATTGCTCCAAACAGAAACAAGCTTTCTTAACACAAGCCAAATGCCTCCGAGATAGAGAGGCAGGAGACAGAGCAGACCACACCTTGGCTTGTTCGCTTAGAGCAGAAGTGCCTTCAGACTGAAATAATCACCAGGAGAGAAGAGTCAGCTTCACTAAATGACAGGTGTAGGTCCATCTTTTGTCATTTCTCTCTTTTTTTCCAGTGCATTTTTAAATATTTTCTTCAGGGTACTGTAAACTATCGGTCCATTCTCAGAATCAAAATTAACCTGGTGACAAAGAAAATTTATATTAGGACATGTAACATAAATGTGAACCACTATCTCTTCTGGGAGAAAGGAAACAGGTGGACAAAAATTAAGACTGATAAAGCTACATATAATTTTAAAAGCAGACACTACATTTTACATACTCATTTTAATTGAGACTACATAAAAACTGCCAATTGTGTCAATCCCAAACTTATGAATAATAAAAGAAAACCAAACCCAAAACCAATTTAGAGCCTGGATCAAGTGAGTATGACATAAGCCCACAGCCCTGAGATTAACCGCCCATGGTATAAGGGGAAGGTCTCCCACAGCCCTAAGGGAAAGGGTGTGCACCCACTCTGAGTGTTCACGGAACGGCCCCAAAGCCCCCTGAATGGGAAGCCTGACCTGTACCTGCCACCGTGCAAGCTCAGGTACACCCACCTAACCTCGCTGGCAAACATACTACCCCCTTAGGATTTAGCGTAATCACTAAAATAAGTCTAACATGTTTGTCACACATAGAAACATCAAGGAAAGCTCCCTTTTGCCTGGTGGGAAGGTGCCATGTGTTCACAATACCCCAGAGTTAGGTCAGAAAACCTTCAACCCATTTTCATTCATTGCAACAACCCAAAGTCGTTTCTCTGTAGGAACAACTGAATCCCTGGTCAGTGGTTCCCATCTCTTGGAAGGAATGGGGGTCGGGGGTGAGATCACACCCTGGTCACAAGCTAACAAGCTGTGTGGCCAGCGGGACAGACACCGCTGGGTGTCCATAGCTTGAGGCAGCAGATGCGGTATAATCACGCCGTCCCCTCGCAGGGACGAGGCTGCTGGTGCAGGTGGAGGCTGCTGGGCACTGTGTTTGCGCACAGCTGAAGAACCCACGCTCAGCCCAGCTCCATGATTGACGTGGGGCAGTATGAAAACCAGGTACAAGATTTGCACCACACTGGAAATGGCCACACCAGGCTTCCTTGAAGAACTGGCCCAGCTCAGAACAAGAGCCGCGTGCTCAGAGGACTGCACAAGGTGAGGGATGCAAGAACCACCCCTCACATTGGAGCAGATCGGGAACAGCTGGTAGATGTGACTTGTCATTAGCACCTTCCCCTAAAAGGCCAGCAGACGTTGCAAAGAATTTCTACCACTTCAGAAAGACTGTACTGAGGACTTTTTGTTTCAGTTAAATTAACAAATTTAATTTTATCCTGACCAGTATAGTATGCAGTCTACTTGCAAAAACTTATTAACACTAATAACAGCTTGAAATGGCTATTTCCTTGAACACAAAATCACAGCTCTCCCCCATGAGAAGGTAGTCTCTTGGTCGATGATAACTTAAATAGAGATGTAGAAACTCATGTGATTGGGTTTGAGACACTGACTCTAGAAAGGGCTGAGAAAGGCTGCAAAAATCAGCTTACTTGGGGAAGAGTGGAGGGGTAGAGACTGCTGAATGAGTACAAACAATAACCTCTGTGATCATTAAGGTTCACACATGCTGGCACTGAAAGGCTGGGTTCTTTGTTCAATGAGGTTCTCACACCATATATGAGAGATACCAGCATGGAGGAATGAGGGAACCTGTTCTCTTGGCAGGAAGCTGGCTTCTTTGCTTAGCCAGGGAAGATTCCTGCAAGCTAAAAGGATGTGCACAAAAAGGAAACTTAAAAAAAAAAAATCGCTTTACTTTGGATTTGCCAACCAGTTGACACGGTATTGAATTGTCAAGCTTGAATACTGAATTCTTAACAGGTGGATGTTGAATTCTCAACAGATGGGTACTTGTTCAGAACCTAGGTAAAACTGGCTCAACAAGAAAAGATTCTCTGACTTCTGCTAGGCACTTGATTTAAAAATACATTGTCAACACTCAATTGTTTCTCTCTACACAAAAGCCCTTTGTTACAATGGTTCTTCAAAAACCCACAGTTCAGCTTTTTCTCATACTAGTTAGGGAGCTGGTATTTTTTGGCCAAATAGTCTGCTACTACTTTCAAGAACTGTCAAACATACTTTCATTAACGGGAAACACAGCTGAAAATTCTATGTTCCGGGGCTGCTGACCTCTGGATTCCAACCCACAGAGACTTCTGTCTGAGGTGTGAGGGAGGCGCACTCACCTTGGTGAAAGCCTTGATGGCCTGGGCCAGGACGGCTTCCTCCACATCCTGGGGGAGGCTCTGCAGGCTCACGATGCAATGCAACACGCAAAGAATCGTCTGGTGCTGGCCCTGCTTTTGCAGAAATCAAAATCAAACAAGTTGGGTGTAACTGCAAGGAGTTATGCTAAATGAAATGGCAGGAGGAGAAAGACAAATAACTGATGCTTTCGCTCGCATATGGAATATAGAGAAACAAAACAAACCCTACATGTCTGACTATGGGAATTGAGGATATCGGGTGAGAGTTGACCATGGCAGACGGTTCAGGTACTAGGGTGGTGGATGCGGGGAGGGGGTGTGCATCTGCAGGGGTGTGATCTCAGCTCCCAGTAGTGCAGTGCTGTTACTTAAATTAAAAAAAAAAAAATACAGCCCCCTCAAACTACAACACCAACTTAAAAAAAAAAAAAAACAAACTTAAAACGAGGACCATAAAAACAAAAATTCAAGTAACCACAGAACTAGGCACTGCTTTGTGACTAACTACTCACAATCTCAAATACCAGACTATTCAGCAAGAGCTCTGTCAGTGTTTACTGTTGTGTTCATGTAACTTGAAAAGAGTTCAGCAGCTAAAACCTACATTGGTTAGTTGTTACAAGTAAAAGTGAATCTGAAGGAACATGGACTATAAATGGAATGCTTTCCTTGCAGTGAAAGGAAGAGATGATTCACCCTCACTGTTAACAGACACAGTCAGGTGTACACCCCACGGTGAGCACCACAGGCCCTGCCCTGAACACAGGCGAGAGAGCCGCCAGCCCTCTACGGGTACACCTGTATTCCTAAGTGGGGTAGAACCCTGCAGGACATGGCCCTCACTTGGCTCCTGGCGGCTTTCACCTCAGAGAAGCCAAGGAAAAACCCCACCATGTGAGTAAAAGGCATCTAACTCACCTTGTACCTGAGAGCTACTCATTTTACTCTGGAAATATGCTCTAAGTGAAAAATCTAAAATACAGACACAACTGTGGGTGTTTGCCCATTAGAAAGATGCCTAGAAAAGTGGAGAGCCCAAAATAATGTCAACGCCTCCACAGGAGGGGGAGGGACTGTGATGGAAGACAGCCTGATGTGAGAGGAAATGCAGGCGCATTGTGGCAGCGCCAGCTCAGCCTGAAGCCTGCTCTGACGTGGGCTGTGTCCTGGCAAGCGGTTTGGCCTTCCCTTTCTGGAAGGCAGGTCTCTCCCTCACAGGGCCATGGAACTGGACAAGGGTGAGTGGGGGGATGACCACCTAGCGAGGGCCCCCGCCAGCCACCCAACTAAAGTTGACCGCCTCCCACTTCAGCTCTCCAACTTAACTGCTGAGAACACAAGAGCACCCCAGGGGCAAGCGCCTCTGTCTTTACAGACTGAGCATCACACAATTCTGGGCGCGCGTGCCTGGGTGCCTGTGTGCAGAGTAAAAGATGTGGAATTAGTGAGGAGAAGCAGCACAGCAGGTAAGTCGCGGCTGATGATGATATAAAAGTGTTTCCTAAACAACAAAGTATTCTTAAATAAACATTTAATATGTACAGTTAAAAACGTTGACCTGTACAAGGACTTCCAAAGAAAAGGAAGTTCCATCCCTGTCTGGTCCACATCTCCTAGGGCTGTTCACAAAGGCAATCACCAACCACTTTTTTTTTTTAATCATCTTTCTATACTCTTCTGTATTTTATATATGTACAAATTATATATGTCAATGACACACAACACTTTCTAAGAAATGAGTGCACAGTTATTTAGTATGTATGCTAACACTAAATAAGTAAATACTTAAAAGTGAAAAAATGGTTATATGACATATCATTAGAGTAACTTATCATATTTGTGAATAACAATACACATGGAAAATGTTAGGTTCTATGTGTTAAAATTCTGAGCAAAAATGAAGCACAAAGTAGCATGCAAAATGATTTTAACTCAGGGAAATAGCTGCAAATATTTAAAGTGCCTCTCCGGGGATTACGGGTATTTCCCTTTTTATGTCCGTGTCTTCCAAATGTTTGTATGGGGTATGCCATTCTTCACTCACCTTGGAAACATTCAAACTAGACCCAGATAGGGGATGATGCATGAATTCCTGTTGTATAGGGGATGTTTCTGGTGTGCGAGACTTACATGAGGGCCTCAGTGCACCTGACCAACTAGTCTAACGGTGACTTTACCTTCTCTAATAAAAACAGCGCTTCGGCGGCATCAGCGCGTCTGTCAACCAACATGTCCATGTCGTCTTTGGTTATGACAGGCTCCTTCAGCTGCTCCACCCAAGACCACATCAAACTGCACAGGATGAAAGGGTCTCTTTCGCCACATATTCTTTCCCAAGCTCCGTCTCGGGAATTTAGTTCTTTCTAAAAGGAAGGAAGGGAGGGAGAGAGAGAGAAAAAGGTCGGGGGAGAGGAAAGAAAAGAGTAGAGAGGGGAGAATGGGAGAGGGCAGGGCAGGGAGAGAGGCGGGCAGGGCAGACAGGGCAGGGAGGAGCTGGCACTGTTTGAGGAGCAGGCTGTCCAGGACAGTGAGTCAGGATCTCAGATGTGGACTGGGGACCCTCTCAGCACCCCCACTTCCAGGGGGCACACAGCTCAGTGAAGCTGGTCCTTGTTTCAGAGCGTTGGGCGGATTGAAGAGGGCTCTATCTCTATGTCCCAGTTAACCAGGGACTTATTTAACTGAGTAAACTGGTTTCACTCAGAAACCAGAGTAACAGTTCAAGTAGAGGGAGCCCTCCTTTTTGGGCTTTTGGAGAACAAAATAGAAATATTGCAAGGAAATAGAATGGTAGATGGAAAAGTATAAATAAGAAATTTGCCAACTAACCTGGGATAATGAAAAATTTTTAACTGAAACTTCAAATTATGCCCCCCAAAATGCCTACAAGGCAGTAAATATGGTACGTGCATTTCTTTCAAATTCCTTTTTGGAATCCTATGTAGAATTTAACAAATCAGTCCCACATCCTGAAACTGATGGGGGTGGGGGAGGAATTAGGAAGAACTTCCAGTTCTTCCAGTACTCCAAATGCGTAAAGCTAAGCAGGGCATTTAAAACAACTTCATCTCAAGAGCAGGGGAAGGTGAGATTAGAATTTTAATTTCTGATAGGGTTCAGATTTAAGTCTTAATAAGTGACTTGTGCTTGCCATATTAAGCATAATAATCACTGCCTCTCATTCACCACAGGCCCAAGCTGACAGAACCCCACAATGCAGAGCAACTGTAACACATGACGTATCTCGGACTTTTGGCAACCAGCAGGGAGGCTCCTGTACAGACAAACGCACTCAGGCAAGATGGGGTAAGTAGTGTGGCAGGGACGCAACGTGAGAATGGGCAAAAGAGGTGTCTCACTTAGCCTTGCTCGACCCTGGTTTCCTGCACCCACAGGGCCCTTGTTTTCCGGACTTATTATATCACATAAACAGCCAGCACTTCCAGCCTTTCAATCCCCCACAGATCATGTTTATAGCAGAAGAGCTTTTTATTCAACTTTATGTAGCCAGTGAGAAGAGAAGTGGGCAGAAATGACATGGCTGAGATCTCTTATAAAATGACCCTTACATCTTGTGTTTTCTGAAATCTTCCAGTGGGGTTAGGAAAGACATCCGGGATGACAGGAAATATTAAACGCATGAGCTGTATCAGGCTCTGCTACATCTGGTCTTTGTGACTGAACAGGTCATTTATTCTAAGACCTCAGGGTCCCTGTTGTGATGCCTAATTCATAAGAATCGTGGTGATTAGCAAAGAATGTGCCTTTCAGTTTGGAGCAGAAAATATAAGAACAGTTCATGTTGGAAGAAAGCAATACATTTTACTGTGTGAAGCACAGCATAATTCTGAAGAAGTCTCGCTACCCAACAGGGAGCTGTAATGGGTGCAAGGCTCCCACTTCCACATCTAAAATACTTCTGTACCCCATGATCCCTCCAAAAGTGTCTGCATCTTGCTTAATTATGGTAGAGTAGGGAACAGCTGTGGAAATATTAGGTGGTTAGAAAATTCATGAAATATTTTTCCTGTTTTTTAAGCATCATACTTTCTTGCTAATCCAGAAATTCCTGGTAATTATGGGCTACCAAGCCAAGCTGTCACTGAGTCAGTCCCTCCCTCCCGGACAGCCCCATATTTGGGCAGTTCACCTGTTTTCATAACCAGGTTTCTAAGAATTCATAACAATTGTGGAGATTAGCAAACCTGGTTATGATTAGCAAGAAATCTTTTCCGTAGACCAGCTTACCACCCAGGGCAGAGAGTCCAGCTAATTTAAAACTCTTTCTAGTGGAAAGTAAAACACAAAAGGGGTTAATATTTAAATTTTCACATTCTAATTTACATGACAGTAAAGGAATGGACTCCAAAGACCCAGTCTCAGGAAGGTGACAGAACACAGGTGCACTGTGGCTGCTCCTGTCTGCTGCTCCTTCCTGGCCTCAGCAGCTGCCTTATCCAGGGCTACCACGTACCCTCCTGACCTTGCTCAACACTTAAGTTGAGCTTTGGTAAAGAATTTTCTTTGACTTCATTTCTGTCTCCAGCTCAGTGATTTTCAGAGTGTGGTTACCTCCCACACTTTGAGTTGGAGATACTTGAGGTCAGTTCAGAAGGCCATCTGCTGTGGCCTGCCCCTCTGTCCATTCGCCCAGCTGCCAGTATCAATCAACACAAACACCCTGGGCCCGCAACCTGCTGAGTGCTGAGCACTTTCTTTCACACACAGATCAAAACAGACCAGGACAACAATAGTCCCGTTCTATCAGTTCTGCAACATCAGGCCTATATCATAGTTGAGCAACCTGAAGTTCAGAGTGAAGTATTACACAAAGGTCTTCCAATTCCTACAAGCAAATGTGGGAAGATGTGCTATATTTCTGCTCCAACATGAATATTTCTAACACACATAAAATCAAATGAAATACAAATACCTGCCACATTTCTACCTTCCTTTTCACTTCCTCCTTTTCTGTAAACTCATTTAAATTTGCCAGGGCTTTGGCAGCTAGGATTCTCCTTGCTTCGACACTCAATTCAGACTGCAAGGCAGTGTGGGGAGCAACTTCAGACAGGTCTTTGCTGTCCTGGGCTTCAGGTGCAACCAAGAGCGGTACTTTGGGACTGGCGCTGCGGTCCACAGGGCTGTGGTAAGTCTCACTGTCATCTGCAATGGAGCCCGGACCCCCACCAGGGGAATCACATGGGCAGGGGTATACTTGCTGGTGAGAATGGTTTGGTTTCTTCTGGAAATTTGCAAGGCTGGACTTAACTGATTCCTCAGGGTAGCATGCACCTGAAAGGCCTGAAGAGAAGGTTTTACTCCTCTGGAATTCCTTTGGAATATTCTTCCTGTAGAAAATTGGTGATCCGTCTTCTTTATCTTTGAATCCTTCCAGGTCTCCAAATTTCCCCTGATTCCAGAAAGAAAATGTATTGCGAATCAACACCTCCTTATTTAAATCTACCTGTGGAGACTGTAGGGTATAACGGTGGCTTAAGGGCTTCTGCTGCCCAGAGTTAAGGCAAAGCAAGGCCTGTCCGGGCACTGTCCATGGAGTGCCTCCTTGTTCCAGAAGCCACTCGGCCCTCTTTAAGTCTGAGTCACTGTAGCTCAGTCGCCTTTTCAGGCAAGTCAAGGGCTGAAGGCACTCAACATTCCGCCTCTTCCAAAGCGGGTCAAACTCTTGCTCGCTGGAAAGAATCATATCCTGAGCCTCAAAATCTGTTGCCACCACAGAGGGGGTGCAGGAGTCAGATGCGTCACTGTTGTGCCTCAGCAGTTCCTTATCCAGCTGCCGAGTCACCATCTCAGAAACTGTCCTTTCAATTTCAGCAGAGAGGCCAGGAACTGCTGCCACTTCTTCATTTACTACTGGTCTGTTCTCAGCCAAGTCCAACAGCAATTTGCAAACAAGGTGGATAATTTTGGGGACGTATTTTAGAAGTCGTGCCTCATAACCATGAAGTAGATGCCGCTGGCGAATGAGATATTGTGCTAAGGTGACAGCATGTGCTTTGGGATCACAACATGAGAAAATATTGCGAAGAGGAATCAGAAACTGAGTAAATTCCCTTATGCACAGAAGCTGTCCTCTGGTTTGTATGGAGTTGGGTCGCTTCGTCCGAACAAATACAATTGCTTGGTCAGCAGTCATTCTTGTTGCAAAAACTAAATAACATGCTATTAAAACACCTAAGCAGTAAACAGTGAAGAAAAGAAGATTGGTAAGAGAAAAATTTACATGTTTTTATTTATTGCTTTCATGACTTAAAATCCGAATAAAAGACTTTAAGGGTAATCTTGACTTTGTAACTTTTTATATGTGTATCTATTTACTTGTCTGTATGGCAGCCCTCTTCTTGACTGAGAACTTTCACTGCCTCTGCACCTGGATTTAGCACAGTAATGTCATGGTGTAACTAAGTAAGTATGGAGTGAGAGGGATGCTGAGAAAGATGTAGAGAAGAGGAAGAGGGAATGAAGTGTAGTGAGGAGTTAGGGTGATTTAGTGTGAAGTGAGGGGGATGATGAGTAATGATGGCGTGAGGAGGATGATGAGTACATGGGTGCATGGTGGGGTGATGAGTAATTGTGGAACAAGTGTGGGGTACAGGGGTGATGAGTAAGTGTGAGGTGAGGAGATGAGTAAGTGTGAAGTGAGGGGGGTAAGTAAGTGTGAAGTGAGGGGGGATGGTGAACAGGTATGAATGAAGGAGATGAGTAAGTGTGAAGTGAGGGGGGATGGTGAACAGGTATGAAGTGAGGGGGGCAATGAGCAGGTATGAAATGAAGGGGATGAGTAAGTGTGAAGTAAGGTGGGTAAGTGTGAAGTGAGGGGGGATGAATAGGTATGAAGTGAAGGGGCCAGTAGTGTGAAGTGAAGAGGATGAGTAAGTGTGAAGTGAGGGAACAATTAAGTGTGCATCGAGGGGAAATGAGTAAGTGAGGAGTAAGGGGGTTGTGCTTATAACTTACCACCCTGCCACCTTTGAGAACTTGGCATTTTCTCTACTTGGACATCTGGGGTGGGGAGTATTGTGGGAGATTATTCACACTCACAATTCATTTTTTCTTTTCTTCTTCTAGACTTTCCCTCATACTACAACTCTGTTTCTATATTAATATTTAGGAAATCAGTGTTACAAGTGTAAATATTATGTACTCTTAGTAAGTAATATCAAATTAAAATGAATAGCAAATAAAAAGGTACTAATTTCAATATATTACTTAATAGCATATCAAACTACTAAAAGGCAAACTGAAAGTAATAATGTGATTCACCAAGTTTGTAGCTCTTATTACATGGGAAATGAGAACGAGAACTGCATGTTCCCTAGTCGGTAGCAGGCACAGTCCAATTTATCTTTTTCACTAGGATGTGACAGGGCTTTGAGTAAGTACGACACAGATGTAGAGCTATCATGTGGATACCAGGAAGAGCAAGAACTCAGAGCAGAACTCAGTCCCTGCCTGAAGACCACAGAGAGGCAGCGGGCAGGCGGTCCTGAGGAAGCACAGCACAGGGCGCACAGAGCCAAGTGTGGCTGTGGCTGTAGCTTGTACCATTAAGAGTCCAGCACCACGGGGTTTATTTTTCCCTCAGTGCTAGCACTGTACTGAGTTTGCATTGCACTTTTAAATAAAATAGTTGACTTTTACATACAATTCTAGGCAAATAGACTCTTCTTCACAAACACATCTTCAAACAAAAGACAACTTGATATGCTATTTAAATTTTGGTCCTGTTACTTACTCAATGTAGCAAATTACTGAACTATCTTCAAAGCTCCCACTGTTGCTACAGACTTAAAAAGATAGCAGGTATAAGATGATTAGAACATAGTAGGTTCCATGCTGCTATTTTAATTATTATTTTGGTTAAGAAAAAATATCCTTTTAAAAGACAACATGTGTTAAAATATGGTGCTGACTTTTTGTCACTTAAAGAAGAAATCCAGAATCATTGTTTAGCTAGTCATGGAAACTTATTTGTTTATTAAATATGATGAGTTTTTAGTCCCAAGTCATTCACAACTATTCTCACAAACAAGATTATTTGTTTACAATACACCAAGTTTCTTTTATTTACTTCTTCCAATTTGATTCCCAAACTGGTAAGATTCTGAAAAATAATTTTCCTCTAGAACTAGTGCTACTACTTAAATATTCGAATATACTACAAGACTATAGAACCACCTCCTAGAATTTACCTGTTCGGCCAAGCCCTGCGTGACAATGGATGGCTACTTTTCCTTCTTGTAAGGCAAATGTCATCACCTTCACCATGTCTAAGATGGTGGTAAGGGATGCCACACCATAATCCTTCCATCCAAAATTGTAGAAATAAACTGGGCATTAAAAGAGAATAGGAAAAAAAAATCAACATCCAGGGAAAATACTTGCAAAGACAGATGAAGACAGTGAATTAATAAAAAGTATAAGCTGTAAGGCACATAGATCTCATTGGATATACAAGCCCAAAATAACAGATCTTTTCTAATCCCAGTAAGTTTATTGTTAACATTTTTCATGAAGTATAGTCTATATTACTTAAGACATTTCCTGCTGAAACTCATCCAGAAAGAATTATGGAAAAGCAGGATTTCAAATTAAAGTCCACGTTGTATGGCCAAATTCCTCAGCTGTAGAGGAAATAACACAGACTTGTCTAAGCATGAAAGTGTGTCTAAATGGCTGATAAATGGCACAAGACAAGAAGGTACATAAAGATTTTCTACCTAGTGGAATGGGGGTGGGGCGGGAGAACAAGATACAAGCCGTTACTTCTTTTGTTTTTTAAAGAACTGCTTTTTAAACAAAATTCCTTCTATGTGCAAACTAGAATGACCATTCTGCTTGGAAATAATTATAATAAAACACAGGATGGCAATTTGTTTTAAGTTTTCTTCCTCAATAGTAAGCTTCTTATAAATAAGTTCTAAGTGGCACAGGTTTATCCTCTCCGGCCTGCTGTCAATGACATGTGCCCAGTGGCTTCTATCCCATGGTTCCCATGAACCAAGGAGCTCCTGGGATTACCACTGTGTCCCTGCATCCTTCTGAGGCACAGCAAGTATAGCATAGTGAGCACTGGGCCCCAAGTCTGTGGCCTTTGTTACGCTGTGCGATGGGGGAGAAGCCAGCGCTCTCTAAGTCCACTTGGCCTCTCGTGAGAAGCAGAAACTACTGACATGACTCCACTAAGGGCTGAATGAGATGACAGGCTACTATGCTGTTAATGTTAATTAATGCAGATGCCAATTAGATGCATCAGTATTTCCACAGGGCTTGTGTCTAAGACTCCACTTATATACTTCCAGAGCAAAACCTAGCATTAAAGCTGGCTCATCATCATTTTTAGGAACTCTATTACTGCGCAGTATTTATTTCCATCCCCTTTTTAACCTAAGACCCAAGCAGACAAAACTGAGGGTTGTACATCACCCTGCATGGAGCACTTACTGCCAGCCTCCATGAAAGCCTCAGGAAGGTACGTGAAGCCACTTTCTTGTTCCAGCGGGTTCCCACAGCTGGCATGCTCACCGGGCCGCTGCAGGTTGATTACTGTTTTTATGCCAAGGCTTAAAGGAAAAAGAAAATTAGTCATATTCAGTGTTGGTGTTTGAAGAGATTGACTGTTTTTGGCACTAATAAATGTTATTAATTACTCTTGAATTCTATTTTATTATTTGAAATGAGCTCTCCTCTGCCTATTGTCAAAAGCACTTCCCCATTTGAAGGCAAAAACAACATCAAAGGAAACACAAGTTGGCCTTTAAGCACGCACGCGAGAGCTGTGGCACTGACCTCTGGAACTGCTCAATGATGCAGTACTTCTCCAGAAGCTCCGTGGATGGGCGAGCCATGGCCAGGATGTTATCAGTGACCCTACAGATGGGAGGAGGAATGGGTGAGATGCACAAATTCTAGAACATTCCAGCTCTAAAGAGAGAGAGGAAGATGCCAAGGGTCTATTTTTTCTGATTTCAACAACTCTGTAAGAGAAGAATCTTCTTATACAAATTGACTTCAGTTTTGCATCATGATTAGGGTTTGAAGAAATCCTAGCTTCTTAGACCCCTGGAAAACATTCCAGGACAAAGTATTTGTGAACCCTGGCAAAGCATTTTCAAGGACGCTCCTGAGATTCTAGGGGACATAATGGAGCTGGCATCAAAGGTCTAGAGAGCTAAAGAGCTCTTCAGGAGGGCTGCTGGGAGGCACCTTAGTATTAAATTGTCTGCAGCTCAGTTATCTAAAGAGTTACATGGAGAGACTAACGTATGCATCACAGGATTGTATTAGAATTCAATACAATGTGAATGTCAAACCCTTAGCCTACATCCTGCGTGTGGTTATGAATTAATGTCGAGGTATTGTAATTTAGCAAAATATGGGCTTCAGAGCCAATCAGATCTGGTTTCAAATGCTAGTTTTTCTACTTTCCAGCTAGGCAGTAAATTACTTAGCCTCTTGAGGTCTCAATTCCTTCATCAATAAAAGGAACATCAACAATGACTATCTCACAAGAGTTTTGTGAAGATGAGAGATGGTAATTTCCAAATGTCTAGGATAGTGGCTGTCCTGTAGCCAAACAGACATTTACTAAATGCACGCATGGACAGAGGCCAACAAATGGCTGTCGTGCTCATTATCCTCTGGGCTCTGCTTCTCTGGTGTGATTTCTCAGGTAGGCTGTTGGAAGTTGTGGGTCACAGGGCCTGAGACAATAACAGAGACATTCCATGAGAAGGGCACAATTCAGAAAGGACCACTTCCCTGGGGGCAAAGCCTGAAATTTGGCAGGAACACTCTGAATTTAAGTATATAGGATAAGGTAAGTAGAGATGCAACATGAAAACAGCAGAGGTAAAAAGACTGAGGTGGATTTTGTTAACAATAAATCAAAAATATTAAAGTGAGCCTAGGCTGCACTGGAAATCTACTGGTCTAATGACAGCTGAGGTACCATGTTTGCTTTTTCATAAGTGTCTAAAAGAAAAATAGTGACAGCCTAGAATATGATCTTGGAGAACAATGACAGTGGCCCCAGGCTATACCCCCACACTAGTACCTAGCAACTGCAATATAAAGCTCTGGCTGCAGGGTAAGTAAGCCAGTGGACAAGCACCTAATCATAAATACACTCCTGCTGTAGCAAATGTTTTACTACTAAAGTTTACTCCTAGAGTTCCCTGAACGGAGAATTCCTCTAAGAATTTTCAAATATGACTTCGACATCAAAACTTTTCAGTTATTACTACATCAAAAGGAATAGTTGGCCTTTTATTATTAATGAAAGCAGTATGGTCAAGAACGAATGAATTTTATTAACATACCATAAGCAACATGAGCATTATATACTGTCTATTGAACCAACAACTCGAACCACTTCTACGACAGATTTTAAATGTATGAAAATTAGTATTTTTCACACAGTAATATGTATTATCATTACTGTGTATTATATAGCAATTATTGTGTATTACTGTGAATTATATGCAGTTAACAAGATTAAAATGAGTCTAAAGATAACCTGTATGGAATTTAACAACTCAAATTTATAGCTGAACACTTATTATTTCTGAAATTTATCTTGCCATTTCTTTAAGATAATTTACATATGTCATTTCATCTAATTAAAAAAGAATCCCTTGGTTTATCATTTCTTATTTGACAGATGAGGAAACTGAGGCAGAGAGAGTGGGTCAAGATCACACAGGGGCCAGGGGCAGCTGGGCCCCCTGACTTCAAGCCCCCACGCCTCTGGCCACAGCCCCCCTGCTTGCCTGGAGCACAGTTGCTTCAGTCCCTTTCCCCACTCCGCAGCAACAGCTCCAGACACTGGCGGTGTCACTCACCAGGACGAGTAGACCCCCTTAATGGCTTGTTCCTGCTCGCTCCAGCGAGCTGGATTTTCATACTTGCAGGCTCTGCCGCCACACGCCATGGAGCAGGCCATGTGTCCAGGGATGACATGCCGTAAACGCTCTCCTACTTTAGTGTACTTTGGTGCTGGACGTTCTGAATTTCCTAGAACACACAGGAAAGGGCAGGTTCAAAACTCTACTCTCCAAATGGAACAGTCATGTGGAAACCAGCTTCCATTAGGTGAGGATTATGGCGAGCCGGTGTTGATCCTCTTCATTCTGTCAGGAATAAAACTGCTTCTTTTTCACTTGCACGCTAACTCTTCGTACAGAAAAAACTTTTACATACTATCACCTCCCCATCAGACTGGTAATGAAAAGAAAGACATGTAAAAGCAGATCTTTTACAATCGAGTGAGTTTTGAGAAAAAATGACATTTTCAAGGAAAAACCACGAAACACTCCTTTTAACTAACCCCTCTTATAGATCCACTGAAACTTAGGCAGCAATCTCTACAGTGTCAAATGAACTGTAACATTTAAGAACACCCAGACACCATTTCTGAAATTCAAACTAAAAGGTCTGGCAACTGTTAAGAAGATAAAGAAATTTACTTTTTCTCTCAGGGCAAGCTGGGTTTCTCTCGGCACAGCGGACAGCCGACACAGCCACCATCACCTGGAGGGAGGACGAGGACAGCATCTGTGCCGCACAGCCCCGCCGGCCCTGCTGCAGCCGCAGCACCGGGTCGGAGGTGGAGTGCCTGCGGCCCTGGAAGAAGGCGCTGAGGAACGGCACGGCCGAGAGCCGCCGAGGCGGGTCCTGCATGGCACTCGATCCCAGGAGGAGAGCCGGAGGCAGGAGATGCCAGCGCCAGCTCGCTCCACGATGAAGTTACATGGAATCTGAGCATCATCTGCTGATCTAACAGCATTCAGGATAGGCTTAGTCGTTTCCATAGCGACAAACAAAGAAACTACTGATTCCCACTCAGATCTGTGCAGGCAAAAGTCTGATGTGAATGAACAGTGTTTTGGACAGATTGTTCAAATATGGGGAAAATAACATGTATTTTAAACAGATTACTGCAACTACTCTAATCTGCTTCTCAAAGACATTTAAGAGATCTGACAGTTCAAATAATTCCGTTTAAAATGCTGTAAGGAATTCAGAAAAATGTCTTTATGACACAAACACTGCTGTTTACACTCACATTAAAAGGTTTAACTTCTGGTTTTCCTCTCATGTCTATTTTCTGAACATTTTGGGAAAAAAACTACTTTCTACTCTTCTTTGTAATGGGAGACATGAAAAGCTAACTGTAACAAAGGGAGATGTATGCTGGGTACCTTTAAAACAACATTCAAGTTTTTAAAACTAAAAATCCTTTGTTCTCAATGTAATTATTAATAAAATATTTGAACAGAACAAGCAAATAAAGACATCTATAAGGCTGATGTATTAATCTGAAGACATTTCCTTTCATACTTTAATATTTACAATGTGAAAGTCCAATTCTCAGTTATGCTTTTTTTGGACAGTTATAATGGCCATGCCTCTCAAAAACTCAAAGACACAATGCTGTGCCTTTTCTTGCTGACTGTGGGGGAAAAAGAAGCTTCAATAATGTCCTGGCAGAGGCTGATGTAGAAAATTCCCCAAGTATCACATTTTTTTTTTTTAAGGAACTGGATGAGGGGGAGGTTGTAACTTGAGAATAAAGGATACACAGAAAATAGAAACTCTAACAACCATCGATTGTCCGCCTCCTTAATGTCAGGCTGTACCCCCACCCCCGTCTCTCTCCCGCCCGCTTCTCTCCAAATGATATTTCAATCCTGTGCAGACAAAAACATCCTACTGCCATAGATTGGGTTCATTTTTGCTTTGTTCTAACAATTAAAAATGCTTTTAAGCAAGTTCCTTTTAAAATGTACACCCCCCCACCACCCCATTAAAATGCACTTGTGCCCAATGCCTACTCGGAGTGTAGTACCATGTCTTGTCTTGAAAATACCATGATGGAAAAAAGTATTTTTTATTGTAATTAATCCAGAAACAATAGCTTCCACAGAGCTTTTTAGAAGAAGAAAGAGAAAATGGGGCACAGTAGGCAAGTTGCAACCTGACGGTGGAAGCCAGATGTGCTCCAATTACAGGGTGCAAGCTGGCTGTTTGGGAACAGCGAGACCAACTGAAGTTTCTGAGAAAGTGGCATAAAGAGGTTAATGCCACCTGCAGAGACAGGCTGGATATCTGAGAAAGTGGCATAAAGAGGTTAATGCCACCTGCAGAGATGGGCTGGATATCTGGGGCCGGAGACTTTGGAGCATTGAGACTGAACAGTGCAAAACATGGGTAGAAGACAGAGAGGGGCAGCCAGGCAGGTGCTCCTGGCTGATTGGGACTCTGAGCCAATGTGAGCAGCGTGTGAGGAGAAGGCACCATAAAACCCAGAAGACCAGCTCCATCTGAACTGCAAAGTTGAGGAAGGGCAATTAGGAAGTCTCCAAAGCGAGTGGGAGATGCCTGCTATCCGCGACCTTAAAGACATCCCCATGAGAGCTTCAAGTGACGGGATCCCAACAGTTCTGAAAGTAAAAACAAAAGTGGTGAGGGCAGGACTCGTCTAACAAAGTGAAGGAAGAAATGGCTTATATGTCACCTCAAGGAAAATGTCGGCTGTGAAGTCTTAACCTCGGATGATCACAAACAGGTAATAACTGAGTGGACCAAGTTATTTGAGTGCCAGAGACCCCGAATAGGGATCTTTTGAGGGGTGATTCTGGAAGGACATCGCAGCCTCTTTCTGGACATGCTCTGGTCCAAGGTGCTGATGGATCCTGGCAGTCTGGTGCTGTAGAAGGCTGTAGAAGAGGCTTCCACCTCCCTTGCACTCATCAGAACCATCACTCCTACCACCTTGTGCTCCAAAATATTCCTTGGTGAAATGCCAATTTCACATTCAAGTCTGTTTTTTTAAAATAAGCTTTTATTTATGTCACATGGCTTTACAATAGGAAAGCATACCTTCAGCTAACCTCTAGGATGGCTTCCTTCCTGACTATGGATATACACACGCATTTTCTGCACATTAATAATCATGTTGTAAATACATTGTTCTTGCTTTTTCTAACCAGTATAACAATATTTCCCCATCTTGCCTTAGTCACCTCATCATTTTCATTTAATGGATACACATGATTATGATACCTCAAGCTATGCCTCATACTTTATCTAGTTTTCCTGAGCTACTGGAATATTTAGGCTAGTATCAATGGCTTAACAGGTGAATAAAATTAATTTTCAAAACTCATATCTTTTGTTAGTTGAGTCTTTACATATTTGAATGAAGAAGATGAAAGGGAGTATTTTTGGTAACACAGTCATCTTTTTGGAGGTCAGAGAAAAATACAGCATTAAATAAGGATAAAGACATGCCATCTCTGATAGATTTTGTGCCAATCTCCTGGATCTTAGAAATCTTTTATCTTTTTTAGAAAATGCCTAAAGTGTAGGCCAGAGATGCTAGAGTGGAGGAAAGAGGATTCACCAGAGACAGAGTGGGGAACAGAACAGGTGGATCTATTGAAACACACTGCTGAGGGGAGCAGTGGGCGGGACAGGAGAGGTCTGCTGTGCCATTTGTGGGTTAGATCCCTGGTTGGGGATTGAACTCAGGCCACAGTGGTGACAGCACTGAGACTTAACCTCTATACCACCAGGGAGGCCCAAAATCTTGTATCTTGGTGAGAAATTTCACATATGTGTAGACAACTTTATTTGTACTATAGTCTAAAAATCAACTAAAAAATTTTTAGGTGAGATAAATTAAAGAATGTTAATGATGACGTTCGAACTGTAAGAAATATTATTTAATAATGGGGGTCCCAGGAGACAAGAGAGAGAAAGGCACAGAAAAGTTATTTAAAAAAATAATAGCTGAGAATCTCCCTAGTCTGGAAAAAGAACCAAATATCCTGATCAGTGAAGTTCAAGGAGTTCCAAACAAAATAACACCAAATAGACACACTACAAGAAACATTATAAATAAACTGCTAAGAAGCAAACTATACTAAAGGCATCCAGAGAAAGAGTTAACACAAAAGGGAACAATTATTCCACCATGGATTTCTCAGTGGAAACCTTGCAAGCAAAAGGGGAATGGTAGGAACTGCTTAAAGCCCTAAAAGAAAAAGATTTCCAGGCAAAAGTAATGTATCTGGCCAGATTATCATTCAAGACTGAGGGTGAAGTAAGAAACTTTATAGAAAGACAGAGGCTAAAAGAATCCAACTATAGGTACCCATCAGAATAAGAAACCATCAGCACACAACAAAATTACATGTTCCACAATGTTTACTGAGGCATTATTTATAATAGCTAATGATATGTAGCAAGCTACGTGTCCACTGATAAAGGACTGGGTAAAGAAAATGGAGAATATAATACAATGGAATACTATTTGGCTAGAAGCAAAAGATGAAATGCTATCAGGAAAATGGAAGTCAGAAAGATAAAGACAGATATTTGTAAGATTTCACATATGTCAGTAATATAAGGAAACAGTGGCGAACTGATAAAGCAAAATAATTATAAACTACCAGATGTTGTTAACTGAACTGAAATTTCTGAGATGAAGAAGGAGTGGGGATGGAGAGAGTGTTATAAGGAACAGTGGGGGGTGGGAGGGGAAGATAAGACAGACAGACAGATAGATGGACCTAAAAGAAAAGATAGAAAGACAGGTAAAAAAGAAAATATAGAAAAAAAATACTAAGAGCTATCTTACAGACAGTTCCATGGGCCAGCCACTAATATTATGGTTCTTTGATTGTTTGGGTACAGCCATGAATAGCAAAAGGTATTTTCCTTAGCATAGTTTAAAAAAAGAAATACCGTTTGAACAATTATTTAAATTACCCACCAGGAAAAAAGCAGGTTTTATCTCTAGATTAACAGGAATATCAAGACTATTTTAATTTCTATTTCATGTTTTATGTAACATGGCATTTTTTTAAGAGTTAGAGTAATTTTATGCAGACATTAAAATGGTAAAGAGGACTTAAAAGGGTACGGAAGTTTTACCTTTACTTGGTGGCTACAGTCTGTAGAACCTCGTTATTACCAGCTGTATCACTTCTCTGCTCTTCCTCCACTTA